GGGAAAGTGTATTGCTAAGACAATGCAGGGAAAGTTAATCTCTTGTCCTGTTTTCCCCTGCCTCTTTTTTAAATTTCTTCTTCTTCCTTTTTTTTTTTTTTAAAAAAAACTTTAGTTTTTGAAGTGCTTTTAAAGCCTAGCAAATTGATACTGACCCAGACCCCTAAGCTGTACAAGTACTAGAAAGAGTAGATAAGGAACTTTCTTTGAAATGGCCTGCCAATAAATTGGCAATATAGGAAATATTTCATGTGTCAATATAACTGACTAATCTGTGTAGGCTCACTAGCTGGAAATTAGTAAGAGTCACCATCCATTGTGCATACAAGGCGGAGATTGTGGGCTTCCCTTCCTATAGACTTCTCCTGGGTAAAACTTTTAAATTGTTTTATTTTGGGCTCCACTACCTAACACAGATGCAAGCCCCTGGCAGTAAGGAAAATACTCGTCGTGTGTTTCTGGAAAGGAACACAGCCAAATGCATAAACAGCTAATTTGTTGCTTTTTAACTGTAGGGATTTGTTTATTGGTTAAACTCGTTAAGTTCCCTTAACCCTTTTACTCTGTTTTAAATTAAACAAGTAGTGTTGTTTTCACTAACACAGTGTGTTTTTATGATTAAATCCTAACCATTCTGAGCAAGTCTGTATACCCAGAGGGATTTGCTGTCTCAGCCCTGCTTTTACGTGTGTACAATGCTGTATTCCTCCTGTGAGCAGAACTGCCTGCTTCTCTTGGATCTATCCAGGCTGGTTCAGTGCATCAATTCCAGTTGAGCTCAGTATACGTGTGGGATATAGGTGGTGATTTATCTTTTCATCTGACTGGGTTTTTTTGGGTTTTTTTGGTTTTGTTGGGTTTTTTTTTTGCACACAGGAACAGCTATTTCATCCCTCCAAGGGAAGTCACTGAGCACAAAGCTGTCCTTCAGAACGTACCCTGTTTTACGTACTAATGTCCTATACCAGGTTCTCATCCTCGCCAAGGGGTATAGGAAAGATTGGTCTCCCAGTGTACCTTGATTTATCTTGGTCTATTAACTGAGGGGCTGTTGTGGAAAGAATCAGGGGTAAGCTTCAGAGGGCCTTTCCTGAAGGCATTGTGCCAAGTCCTGTCTTTTGCTTGATGCTTTCCAGCTCAGGCTTCTTGAAAGGAGAAACATATCCATAGAAGGCGGACAGAGGAGGAAAGGTGTGATACTAATCTTCTTTCAGTGACTTTTTCAGGCAACATGGCACTCAGGAGCCCATGTTTGCACAGGTCACAGGGTGTGTTTCTATTGGTGGAGCTATTTCAAGTGTTTACTCAGTTCTTTGGACACATCAAAATACCCTTGGTATAAATTTACATTTTGCTTCCTGAGACTGTTGTACAATTAAGTAAAAACCTACTATTTCCCATTTCATGGCAGAAGAGGTAGCAGCACAACCTAAATAAATCCCAGCTGGGGTATAACTCTCCCTTACTGTAAGACACTTCTCTTGATGAAGACAGGACAGCTTTTCCAAAGTGGCTATCAGCTCAGTTATGTCTCCTTAGATTTCCATGGTCACCATATACCTCTCTGGCTTGGAGGTTGGGGATGGGAACTCTAGCTGGCTTTGTGTATCTTTAAGGTGTCTTTGTTTGATAATGCTTTACTTTTTTAGTTTGAATGGTTTCATCATCTGTCTTATCTTTTTTTCATGAGCAGGAGTGAGAAAATGGGCATGATTTTTAATCCACTAGGAAACACAGTATTTATTATTCTTAGGGGCCACGTTAAGCATGAGACCTGCTCCTATCCCAATAGAAGAGCCAGAATGGAGACAGACGCCTCCCCCAGTCACAGCTACCTCTGGGACCTTCAGACTACGGCGAGGCAGTCGGTTCACATGGAGAAAGGAGTGCCTGGCTGTTATGGAAAGGTATGTTGCTTTGGGGTTACGGAGATGGGGCCTTTTAAAGCCAATACAAGTATCATTTTTCCTGCTCTGGTGTACACCAGCGTCATTTTCATGGATGTCGTTTAGCATCATGCAAGTTAATAACAGTGTAATCATTTCATTCTCAACGATAGAGTTGGAGGAGCTATTTCAGCCCTTTTGGTGTTTAAAAAGGTCTTATACTGCTCTGGACAATGTCTAATTTTTTGTAGCCCCTAAGACATCTTGTCCTTGGCACAGTCTGAGAGTACTGGTGTTCAGCTCTTCCTTTGCTTTTGCAGAAACCATTCCATCTAGCCTAATCCAGGCTCTGTCTTGCTGGGGATCTGCACACTCTTTACATTCTACATTTCTTCTTTCCCAATTTACCGATTTATTTACTGGTTTGTATCAGGTTATTTTATAGTTGATACTGGCATTTCGACAGCACTGTAATTGTTCAGGATGCAGAACTTTGCCTAACAAGCGGTAGATTCCTTGTCCAAAAAGGCTCTTAGAACCCTTTTACATGAGCTGGGAACAGTACAGAGCAAAGTGGATCTTTCAAATACATATGCAGAATGGCAGGTGATCATTAGAGCTCCCAGCACTTCAGTCCTGCAGAGACGAAGTGCTCTCTGAGTCTGGTCTCCTGGCTGCCTATGTTCTTTGCCTTTCCCTCTGCTTACGGTAATGTCTCTTTTGTGGATAATACTGTATCATGGAAAAGGGCTAGTGAACTCCAACGTAGTTTAGGGATGAATGCTTATTTCTGTTAGGGGCTAAATGGCTGGGAGGAGTTTTCTTCCCTCTGAGAACATGAGGAACCTCCTTTCCATGAAAGCACCAGATGACTCTCTGTGCGCTACACTCCTCTTTCGTTTGCAACTCCGTTGAGTCCGTGGCCAGCAGATTTTTAGGATGTGCTTTTGCCCTTTCTGTAAGGCTTCTCTTTCCTCGTTTGCACAAGGGTCTTTGGAACTGATTAGGAGTAGAACAGCATCTCCTTTTGCCTAAGCTAACACCAAAATACTGAGCTCGCTCAGGGACCCAAACCTGTTTACACACAAGATGGACATACTTCTGTGTGGCCACAGGCCATCACAGGGTCTTTGCAGGGCTGAGACCAGTAACGACGTGTTTGTTTTCCATATTCTGTCCTGACACTGCACTGATGTTTTCAGGTTTGGCTGAAAGTTTCCCCAAAGGAAATAATGTAAATGTTTGAAATCTGTCATGCTTTGCTAGACCCAACTAATGCATAGTCCTGAAACCTGATTGTGCAGGGGACTGTTTTTCTAGTGTCCTCCTCTGCACAGGCAGGACAATATGCAGTGTAGGATCTTTAGCACTTTAAAATGCTTGTATGACTGTCTTGATGGCACTATGTAGAATGACAAAAATGCTACAGCTTAGTGTACCTTCAGGACAATACCATCTCCTTATTAGCCCTCTGTGTGTGAAATATTTAGTTGCTCTGAAGTAGGATTAGAGCTCTTTGGGCATGGGTGTTTTCCTTCTTGGTTTCTGTCTGGCCTAAAGTGCGATAACTGCTATTATTTGCTGTTTGAATCATGACAGTGCCTTAGACTCCCTTGTGCTAAGTGCTGTGGAAACACAGAGCAGAAAGAGAAAGCTAAGCAAGTGCGTGCTACACTTTCTTTCCTCCTTCAGATCTCTCCTAAAGCCAGTCTTTGCTGTGACACTCAAGAAGTCAGACAGCCTGTAATGGTTTGGTATGTGTCTGTTAGAAAGGTGTGAGATTTGGTTTTGTGTATGGAAAGAAGCACGTCGGTGTTGACACTGGAAATCATCCAGTTGTGTATACAGGCACATAATCACTTGATCTCATTTGTCATTACCCTCTTTCTTCTTCTTTGCCATTCTTGGTTTTGTTCGCTGTGTCTTGTGCCCTGTAAGGTCTTTGCTGCTGGGGTTTTCTTCTTACTCTGCTGTTTAATGGAGACTTCTGCCATGTTGCCTTAATCCTGGCTTTAATACTAGTTTGCAAAGCCCTTGCTAGGTCACCGTGAGTACTGAATTTCACAGCCCTGTGTGGGGCTACTGGAAAGTATGGCTGAGGAGTTTTACTTGAGGCAAGAACACAGTAAACTTGAGCAGTAGTAAAAGCTTTGTATGACAATAAAAGTACACCATAAAGCAAGTTGGGAATATGGTTGTTTAACTGTTATACTTTAATAGGCGTAGGTGAGCTGTAAGGATGAGCTGTTTTATGTGACAAGTTTTGAAAGAGTGGGAGAAAAATGCTCACTTGGGAGCCCTAGGAGGAAGCTAACTAATTTCACTTACAAGTCACCGGAGTCTTCCAGGCTTGTCTGTAATGTGACTCGTAACAGCAGCCAGGACGCAGGTAACCAGACTCCTGGCTGGCTGGCCCAAGCAGATCAGGTTCACTTGATGCCATAGGGTCAGGAGTAAGCGTTTGGCCCAGTAAAATGGTGTTTGGCATAGTGTATGTGGTCTGGTGCCACTTACCTGGTAGTTTGCATTTTCTTCTGAAGGATTAAGTTTTGACTGTGAGTGGAGGCATCTTACTCAGTTTAATGGACTCTTTTCCTTAATTAAATGCAAGTTTCATTGCATTGTGTTTGTATGTCCTGCAGCATCTTGATGTGCTGTTGGTGCACGCAAGGATTTAGGCGCCTAGTTTTGAGGTTCTTAGTTGGGAACCTCAGTAAAGTGCTTGTTCATCTAGGCTTCTAGCTGTTCTGCAATGAGAAATAAAGATCCAGAAAACAATTCCATCCCACTAATGCCACTGATATGAGGCCTATATGCACCTTCCTCTCTGGCTACAAAACAGGAGCCATCTGCAGTTAGACCTAACTTTGGTGATTTAGTTAAATGCCTGAAGATAAGAAGGTTGAGTCTAGACCTCAATGGAAACTCTTGTGTAGGTAACGCAGAACTACTTCTTCCTATAAACTTCTGAAACTGTGCTGCGAAGCTGTATAAACATTTTTTGGGTGAGGATCAAAGTCTTGGGTTGCTCTATCAGTTAATTGTGGTATGTGCTTTTGACTTCAGCTGGTGGGAAATGTAGTCACTAAAAGCTGATGTGTCAAACCAGCTGAGAGCACTTCAAGGAAAGAATCAGAATTTGATTGCAAAAATTAGAGAGACTTGCTTCTAGGAGCAGGCTCTGCAACTGAAAATGCACCGGTCAGGATTTGGCCAGTGAACTGAATGAGAAGGGTGAGGTTGGAGGGCTAGTTTCTCTTTTAAAAAGATTTAAATCAACAAAAATTCCAGTGCAATTAATTATTATATTGGTGCCAACCTGATATAATTAAGATTCGAGTTAGGGCCGGCACATATACTTCTATGTCTAATGTACCTAAGTGTCTGTATACAGGGTACGTGTATTAAAGAAACTAATTGGTTCATAGTGGATTTCCAGAATGCTGCTTGTGCTTTTTGTAATTCAATTCTCTAGTCCTTACTACTTTTTTAGAAATTCTGCCAGGGTAGTTTATTAGTTGCTAGGCTGAGATTTTGGACAATAGTTCACGTCTCTTTCTCTTTCTCCCTTTCTATTTTTTTTTTTTAATACCTCTCGAAATATTCATGCTCTGAAGGTTAAGAGGAGCAATAGTTCCAGAAAGTAAAGTTCTATGTTTAACTGCAGACTAGGTGTGGTTCAGACAACTGCAGTGCAAGCTCCCTCTCACTGCTGTGCTAGCGATATCAACCTTGACCTGTTCTCTTCTTGAGCCTCCTGCTCATGAAATATGCTGAGTTTTGTGTGTGGTGATGTTGTTGTGTGGCTCACTCTCCTTTGGGAACAGAGCTAGGACTGCAATAGTCCTTTCTATGAAAACTTGAGGTTAAACTTGAAAGTCTGTTTCTGGTTGTTTCGTGGTGTTCTTCGTTATGTCTTGTCCCAAAGATGATTTATTTTTTTTTTTCCACTTTCTCTGCATTACTTCTTCTTTTCAACCTCTCTCATTAGAAGTATAAAATTGTAAATTCCCTTAGGGTTTTCTCTCTTTTAATGAAGTTGTGTTGTCTGTGGATTCTTTTTTTTTTTTTTTTTTGCTGGGGGGAGCGCGCAGTGATTTGTGCTTCGCTTCTCTTCATGTGTTAGAATTGAGGGTTATCTTCTTTTTCAGGTAAAAAACCATCAAGATTGGCAACTGAATCAATGACTATATACCCATTTTAAGGCACTTTTGTTGAGTGCCATTAAAGACGGGGGGCAGGGGGGAACGACACTTGAATGTTGTTTTTTAAGTATATGCTTTATCCAAAGATTAAATTAAATTAACTGTAAATTCTGCTCTAAAAAAATGAATAATTCATCAATTGAAAGTATTTCAATTTGTCTAGAGAGTAAGGACTTTGCTTTCTGGTTGAGGATTATTTGGTTTGATTTTATGGGTCTGGTTTTTTATTTTAACACTTGTCTGTGCTCTTGAAGCATCCTTTTGTAAAGATGTATTTGGATTGAATAAGACCAGATGATACAGATACCTATTATCCCCATTTCATAGATGGCAAAACAGAATTAGGTGTTTCACTTGGGTTTGTGATACAAGGTAACTTTTCATAAGAAAATGGGTCTAGATTTCTCAAGATACTGAGGGTATAGTTTCATGATATAGCTGAGCTGAATTAACAGTTTGTCACCATCTCATCCTTAGGTGTTATCCTGTCTCATCGCCCTTCTCAGTTCCTCTTCCTCAGTTTCCTTGCTTCTGCCACCCTGCATTGTGCCAGATATGTTTCTTGTCTGATTGAAATACCAGCCAATTCAGCTCAGTTCAAAAAAAAAAAAATCCTTTTTATTTGCCCTGTGTTTTACTGAGTTGGTTCAGCTTGCTGTGCAATGAGGGTGTGCCAGAACTGGTCCGGGGCAAATGACAGGAATGCACAACTGGGAGCACAGGGAAGGGGAAGTTTAACAAAAAGGTATACAAAATTTCCAGGGTGTTTTCTCGATCTGCTTGGTTTTGTTCTGATTTTGTTTGGTTTGAGTTGGA